AAAAAGCTTTAAAAAAAAAAAAAAAAAAAAAAAAAAAGAATTCAGATCTGAATTCTTTGAGAATGTTACACTACTTCGATCTTTAAAATATTTCACTAGAATTGTTTGAGATCAAGTCTCAATTAATTATTCCACAAAATTTACTTCTTATATTATAATTATTTACATTATACCAAATACCTCACGTGTGAACCATCAATTTCACTTCTCAACGGTCATCCCTCTATCTGTTATGTTCGTGTTTTCGATAGCTTTCCCGTTCGATGCTTAAATATTGAATTATGGGATTCAAAGGTAAAACGAACTAGCGTCAGTGAATGTTATTACAATATTAATATTAATAGATCAAAAGAGATGCTACTTTGTAAAAATTTCATTGCATATATATGAATATAAGAAATTAGATGAATTGTAATTGGTTTTACCTCTGAATCCTACGATATATATACGCAAACTTCGTTGATTGACGGATTTTAACACGTGGACTTTTTAGGGATGAACTTTCGCGGGGTTCGAACGCCATTCTCGAGCCGCGGGCTATCGCGAAGGCACCTGAGGGAGAGGGATGTCCTCGCTGCGGAGGGTATGTCTATGCCGCCGAACAAATGTTGGCCCGAGGAAGGGTGAGTATTTCAAAGGACGTACGTGGCCCGTATTTAACACTAAATGCAAAGTTAGACACATCGAAGAGAACAATTGCACACAATTAAAAAATAATTCATAAATGATATATATATATTTTTATCAATCATTGCATTATTCTTTTGGTATCAAAGTAAACTCTTCAAAGGATCTAGTAACGTGATCGTAATCATACTGCATTTAGAGTTAAACGCATAATGATAAATCTCTCGCGTCAGCTTGGTGCTTCGACCGATCGTTCGCTCGCGTATTTAAAAAAATGAAGGATCTTACTCAGACATTAACTAAATATATAATTTACTCAATTAGTCTTTTTGAAATCCTTTCGATATAAAATACTATTAAGCTTCTACCTACAGAGAGATACTCTCTTAAATTGAATCAGTGAAAATATCATTGATTAAAGCGACATAAGATTTTACCAAAGTGAAAATACATTTTATTTCTTTATTTTATGTCCCAGTAATTATAAAATGCAGTAAAATTTCAGTGAAAAATTAAATAGTAATAATTGTACATATTTGCAAGATGTAGCTATTTATTATGGATTGCTATTTTCTAAGAGAAGCTTTATACATATATTTGGAATGGAATATATATAACTAGTACATTCAAATTTAGAATTATATACGTATTACACTTTCTTACTCTTAAGATGTGATAAACAAAAAATCTGAACAAGACTCTTGACTAAAAAACTTGGATATTTCTTTAACAAAAATATTGATATAAATTTATCTAATATAATATTATAATATATAAGAGACGCACTTTAAAATATCATTTATTGAAACAGTGATTTTTTCAAAGGGATTTTACTGATTTGCAATGCATGCATATACTTGTAACTGAGATTAGTCATCATTAGTGACTACTCATTGATTTTCAGTGGTAATACTGATTTAATTTAAAAGTGTAGTTCGTGGAAAGTGTCGTAAGTAACTTTCAAGATACTCTATATATTGGTTTTACAGAGCGCAAATATTCTAGATTTAGAATAATGAGTGGTACACGCGGTTGGAAAATATTTTCTCAGAAACTTTTAACTCGGAAACACAAAGTTGCAAGAATCAAATCCACGATTTTTTTTTTTTTTTTTTTTTTTTTTTTTAATGTTTTCAGCCGATTTTACATCCAGTTTTAGATTGGCAGACGGGAGTGCCAAAAATAATCCTCCATATATTCGACTCGAGTCGCGACCTTATTATTCTAGGTACGCGATATCTATGAGTGGGCCGGCCTCGAATCTGGACCGCGAATATTTCCGCGGGTGAAGGCGGCCCGCGGGGGTAACGCGCGAAGCGATTTAGCACACGGGGCAATAATAATCGGCTGCTGACGCGGCGACAGACAGATTGACGCAATCGGCGTCCTCTCCGAAAATCGCGCTTACTCACGCGTATTTCGGAAAATCTGGACGGAACCGCGCCGCGGTAAAAACGCGCCGCCCGGTTACAAAATACCCGCGGCTTTTGCCGCGCGTCTAAATTCGGCGCGCGACGATGAGCTGTGATGGGCCGCGTCTCACGCGTTCCCGTAATCTTATCCAATTTTTATTTCATAATAATGTGAGGAAAAAAAATAGCAACGGACGGGAAGAGAAAGAGAGAGAGAGAGAGAGAGGGAGAGGACGAGGGTGTAGAGAAGAGCGAGAGGAGAGAGGAAGGAGAAGGAGAGGAGAGCTTGTCTCTCCCCTTGATGCTGAGCCCGGTAACTTTCTTGGTGGTTTCGTCAGAGAACGTCTTTGGCGACGCACCAACTGGCCGGCCAATCTTAGTCGGCCCGATAGCCAGCGATAAAATGGCTCGCTACCAGAAGGAGCGCCGCTCAGAAACCAGAGAAACGGAGGCTAATTGCCCGGCCGACAATCTGGTCCGGCGATAATTCGCGCGCGAAAACGGCGGCGATCCATATCCCTCGTCGTTCATGACTCATCGGCATATCGTTGAGATCGTTTCTTCACGCAAGAGAATTCGATTACATAATTCTTATTAGCCTCTCTCCTTGGATAAAAAAGCACACCATTATATAATTGGAACGGAAAGTTAAGGATCGCATGGAATATCGCAGTAAATTGTTCTCAAAAGATAGATACGGGTATAAGATAGTGCATTTATGATAATATTTAGATATTAAAGTGATCAAAAAAAAAAAAAAAAATTATAATTGTTACATAATAAGAGATGCAAACATTTTGATCCGAATTATCTGTGAATAAAATTTATGAAAATATTTAGATATTAAAGTGAAAAAAAAAAAAAAAAAAATTATAATTGTTACATAATAAGAGATGCAAACATTTTGATCCGAATTATCTGTGAATAAAAATTTATATTACATTTCAAACATATATCTTAAATTAAATTAATCAAATTTTTAATTTAACTGATTCGATTTATTAGAAAATATATGTTGCGTTTCCGTATTATATATTAAACAATTATTAGAGTATTATTATTAATAAGATTGATATTAATATACAAAAAAGATTGCATTCGAGAATCACTATTACTAAAACAAACACGCCTATGTGTGTGTGATTCTCTTTCATATCACAATAAATGTAATATTTATATAATTGGAATAATATATATATCCTACTAATTTTGTAAAATTTATAGATCGATCATTTATTATTTCGGACATATTATTCACATCTATATCATATTGTTTCCGATGAGACAAACAATGAATCTTGTATCAGGATGCGGATGCATATCCTCTAATTTGAAATCTTTGATCTCTGATATCGAGGATATCGAGAAAAGGAGATAAATTAAACTTAAGACATTCTAAGAATCAAAATTTTTCAAAATCAAAAAGATATACCCGGTGATTCGTCGCGGCACCAAGAGCAGTATCGACGATAAGCGTGTCGTCGTATTCTACTAAATCGCCGTTTTTGGTCAATCCTCGTTCTTGTGATAGGTTTACCATAAAATGTGCTTCAAGTGCAAAACGTGTCGTCGAAGTCTGGATTCGACGCTTCATTGCGATGGTCCCGATCGCGAGATATACTGTCGAGGTATCTTTCATCTAAAATATCTAAATAATCCCCTTTACGGCTTCCGCTAGTCCTTGATTCTCTTTCGATATGTTGCACAGACATCCGTACTGACAGTTCTCTGTGTTCTGATATACGTTGAACGTTTACTATCTGGAACGTATTTATTTATCTCTGTCTCTGTTTATCTCCTCGTCTGTTTCCGTTCTGACTCGTTCGTTCTTTGTTATTGTCGCCCACTAAAACCGATTTGTGAATTCTTCCCATGCCGCCAGGAGACAGCCCCCGAACATACAAGGGCTGCAGAAGAAGGATCGTCAATTATTTTGCTACTTCTTGTCTCATCAACGTTGTTATGTAGACACGCGAATATCTATTTGTCCGCTCTACGTCGCGAATTTTTATAATTATGATTGATAGACTAGAGCATATTCCAGAGAGAATAACTGCGCTGCAGGAAATAATAGATATTAAAGACCAAAATACGAAAATGCCATTTGTTTCAGTGTCATAATAATACTTAATTTTCGAGTAAAAAATTAATAAAATTAAAATTCTAGAAATATTTAAAATTAAAGTAAGTTAAATACGCTAAAAATAGATAAAGAAAGTTTTATTTTAATGAAATTTTAATTTAAGGATTAATATGTATATTGAATGTAATTGAAAATTATGAAGAAAGATAGAATTTTACGTTTTTCAACTTTCACAAATTTTATGAAAATATAATGATTGTAGTAATATATAAATATTATAAAGTCTAAAAATAAATAAAAATTTACGAAGCACTATCCGTCGCTATTGTCGTGAATTTGGAAATTAATCTTGGCGGACTCCAAGAAGCGCTTTTAATGTCTGCGCTTCTGAAAGATTTCGATTAATAAAAAAAAAAAAAAAACGATATTATATAAAAACATTTTTGCCTCTTCCTGAAATTTTTAGTGACTAACCCACCCTTTGTGTTTCGTGCAGCAATGGCACAGGGAATGCTTTAAGTGTGCCAACTGCTTCAAAAGATTAGATTCCGTCAACTGCTGCGAAGGTCCTGATAAGGACATCTATTGCAAAGGTGAGGATACGGTATGATCGTATGCGCGAAAATATAATGTACAAAATATGCAACGCAATATAACATCAATTTATAGTCTGACATAAATAATTTATAATCTAATTTATGATTAAACTGTTATGCAAATATTTTTAAATCATAAATGTGAAAATATTGCGCAATGTGCATTTCTTTAGTATAAATATTTATAAAATATTGATTACTATGTAAATAATTCGAAAATCAAATTTGTAGCACTCAAAAATAAACTTTTATTTGCGCAATGTGTGCCCCAAAGTACTAGTAAAGAAACTGATTAATTCCTAAATGTTGACAATTAAAAAATTCAAGAACATTATTTTTTTCAAATATATTTAAAAAAATATTAAATGAGACGCGTTAAAACATCTTATAAAGAGATAATTTTAATAGATGTATAATATCTCTACCTGTAAAAAAATATTTTCTGGAAACTCTAGAATTCTTCTACCCACAAATATATACAATTAAAGCTTTATTAATATTCGAATTAAAGCTTCAATATTTTGCACTATATTTTAATATTCCAATAAAAGATAAAAATTGTAATAACGTAGACCAGAATCTCTGGATAAGATCGCATCAGCATATCTGTACGATTATATCTTCGTCGCAGACTATCATCACGAGATAACGTTAGGCGACGTGAAACCTTTAATCGATATTGTCTACAGTATGCTACGGAAAGAGATTCGGACCGAAGGGTTATGGCTATGGCCAGGGTGGCGGCGCCCTGCAGAGCGACTGCTATGCCAATGGGTGGGTTTTCAGAGTCGGGACTGAGACGGGAAGCACGCGAGAGAAAGAAATCCCGCCTCGGCTTCTACACTTTCACTATATATGATGCGCTTGTCTGCTTAACAGCTTGCTATCCGAAGAAATTCGGTCCGCGGGGTGTCGGCCACGCCGGGATTATGTGGAACGGGCTGCAGTGCGATATTGAGGACGAGGGGTACGCGCCCCCCTTAATTATGCCATCTCGATTATTTCGCGCGCGTAAACAGGATGCCCGGAGCGCGCGAGTAGTGGCAACTTCACCTTTGAGCAATTTAGTGCCGACTTTGTGTTAGCGAAAAATTCATCAGGCTTATTCTTGGCGTTTGCATTTTTATTTGTCCTGTGAAACGAGTCAATTATTGTAATTCAAAGCATTTAAAATTGACTAAACAAATGTTCTATATTTATGGCATCTCTCTCTAAATGAATAATAGAATAATATGTTGGCTATTCTTGCCCCGAGGCATTTTTCATATGAGAATAAGAAATATTCTAAAGCAAAGTATAATGTTCGTTAATTATTAAAAATAAATTAAATTTCAAAAGCGAATACTCTTAATAACGCAGTATTATTTCCGTTATTGGGTAGATACCAAGGAATTTTGCAGCAGATATTAATTTAAAATAAATTTTACAATTAAGGATATGAAAAATGAAGATTTTAACTTAATTTGTTTAACGATTTGTACGATTTCTTCCGAATAGTTAATCATATTTTTGCAAATATAATTATATATGGGGCTTACATTCTGGTCGATAAAAGATCTTTTTATTATTTTCTCATATTGCAAAATTTGCCTTAAATTCACAGAAATCATTTTTTTGTAATAAAAATAAAATATTAAATATAATTTATATATTTAATAATAA